TCTTTACAAAAAATCAAAAAACAAAATTATTTCTCTGATGGGAGAGGTGGCTCCACTGGCTCCTGCTCAGCTGGAGGAGGTGGCTGAGTTGGCTGCTGCTTGTCCGACAGAGGAGGCTGCTCATCGTCTGAGGGAACTGAATGAATCTCCACTTCTGGAACTGGTTGGATCTCACCCACTTCAGTTCCCTCCACTCCTGCCTCCATCTCGTCCTCCTCTACCTCTGCCACTTCTTCCTCCACTGCAACGAACTCGAAGTCGAACTGTGGACGAAAAACAGCAAGACCGTCTGCATCATCCTCCCACCTCAGCTTAATCTGAGGACGGAAGTCTGTTGACATGCTCTCGCCATCCTCCTCCACTCCTTCTTCTTGCTCGCCAAAGGTGATCTTTGTCACATCCACTTCGGGATATTCAGCCTTCACCTTCTTTCTGCAGTCTGTGAAAGCAATGATGGCAGTGGGCAGCCGGTACAAGTTGACGATGCTATCAAATGAGCTGGAACTGATGAAGTTGCTGATGTGCTCTTTCATCCCATTATGCACCAACTTCCGCATGTTCCCCTTCAGCTCCTTGAATGCCTCTGTCATCAGCTTCATTTCTTGCGCCTGAGCCTCACGCTCGCTTTCAGCGATCCTTCGTTTGCTCTCCTCAAAAACGAGCTTGGTGCTCAGGGAAGCCCTCTCCTGCTCCAACTGTGAAACAGTTGGAACCACCTCGTTCAGAGACTTTTGCAGCTCCTTATTTTTCTTCTCCAACTCCTCCTTCTCCTTCTGCAGCTGGTCCCGCTGCCTCTGCAAGAGTGCACGATCCTTCAGGCTCTCCCTGAATTCCTGGGCTAGACCATTCACCCAGCTCGCGCTCTACAGATCAAAACTGAAGTTAAAAAAGAATGAACAGAAGGCGAAACAGGTTCACTGCACAACACCAATACTTTAACATACCTCTAGAACATGCTTCACCATGGACGCTCCACCATACCTCAGAGCTTCCTCCTGCGCGTTGTATTGATCCACTTCGGGGAAGGTGTTGTTGATGAACCACCTAGCCCTCGTTATGTTCTTGGCCTCGAACAGGCTGCTCTGAGGCCCCAGTGGGGGAATAGGGCCCTTTCCCTTACCAGGAGCTCGTACCTCAGCCCCCTCCTCCAATTGTCTGAGCTCAGGGTCCAACTCAACAGGAGAAGGCTGAGGTACGAACACAAGGACCTCATTCCCCGTCTCCTCCTCCACCACCCTCTGCTTCTTCTGCAGTGCCCTCCTCTCCTCCCACCCCTTTCTCTTCAACTGTGGCACTTCCTCCTCCACCTCAGCTGAGATCGTGGGCACTACCTCCTTCCTTACCCTCCCCTCATCCACTTGCTTGGTTGAAGTCTTTGACTTCTTCCGTGGCTTCTTGGGGATGGCCGCTCCTCCAGCAGTGTTCAAGAACTAGTCCATTTCAGCTGCAAAGCAAGAATACACAATATTAATCACAGTTCTATACTCTACATTACTCTACATTCAGTACTATAATGCAGAACTAAACCAACCTTCACTCAAAGCGCTTGGCCCATAGAGCTCGGCAGCTTCTATGCATTGTGCACTGGTGAGGTCCAAAATGTTTAATAAATCCCCCCCTTCCTCACCAACCTCCCCACTTCTTCCTCCTCATCCTCATTTAAGCTAAACCTATTCTGGTTGGCCTTTTTGGCCTTCTAGGAGGCTAACTCCCTCACCTCGGCATCCCCTTTCCCCCACTCCGTATCATTTACAAAAAAGAATTTCTCCTTCCATCCTTTAATGGATGAAGGACCCGCCGTAAACAACGACCTACTCTCCTTACTAGCTACCCTCGAGGTGAAATAATACCACCCCTTATCCCTCCTACTACCCCCCTTTAAAACAAAAAAATACTTAAACATATTTACAGTTGGCACGCTAATCCCCTGAGCTCGGCAATAGACTAACAATCCTATTATTACCCTCATTGCATTGGGGACCAACTGTGTCAACCCTATGTTATAATCTAACAGTAAACCCACTAGCAACTGAGGAAGTGGAAACCTGAGTCCCGCTATCAAATAGTGAGAATACACAAGCATCTAGTGATCCCGAGGAGCAGAGCACGCCCTCTCCTCTACCCTAGCTGGCCTAACTAACACTCGAGACGAGATCTCGTAATTTTCTACTAAGTGACCCAGGCTATCCCTGGTCCTTAGCTCAGATCTGTACTGCTTCACCTCCTCCACTATCTCTGCATTCACATCATAATCTCTCTCTCATCTACCCTCTACTTCTACTACGGTGATGGGTATGCTATCTACCCTAACCATCTCTTTTTCCCCAACCTCCACCACCTCATCTCCTCTCACCCCCTCCACCATTTTCTCCGAACTAGATGGAGATGGACTACTCTCTGCGTCCATGCTCCCATAGTCCAAGGGCATCACCTCACTCCCAACTACACTTTCTGTTCCTTCTGAGGACATTTTCTCTAACTCTGCACGAAGTTGGGGGGAGGAATAAGTCAGGATCCTTTAAAAAAAAAAAAGAAAAAGAAAAACCCCCCTTTTTTGTTGAACATTCAAAATCCTCCTCACCTCTAACCCTAACTTCCTTCAAAGGACTCTAAATCAATCCCAAAAAGGGAGAAAGGAGAGAGACACTTCGATTAACTTAAAATCAAAAGTTCGTATACATTACCTGATTTCGGTTTCGAAAGATTTGAGGTAGAGATCCCCAGTTGTTACCGCAGTTTACGCACAGGAAACGCACAATAAAGCTTTTCGCAGAAGTTTTGCAGGGAAAGAAATGCAAGTAAACCTCCCTTTGCAAAAAAAATGTTTATTTATACTTCTGGGCAAAATTAGATCTCAACGGCTGAGATTCATTTAATCTTACGGTTCCTATTCGCACGGTTCAGAATTCGACAGCCAACCCCAAACGGTACCGTTTTGAATTTGACGATTCGTTTTTTAATTTTTGCCCGTTTAGCTGTAGCAGTTATCTTTTTACAGCCACATTTATTGCACATGTCATTCCAAGGACAACTGTCACACCTATGTCAGTATTTTTACACGGGCCCATTTACGCCCATTTCAACACCTTTGTTCACTTTTACACATTCTCAATTTTGCAAGTGTTTCACCTCGGCTCCGACCACAATAATCATGCATTACATTTCACATCGGCTTCGATCACAATGACCCAGTATCACACATTTTATTTCGGCTACGGCCATTATGACTATGGTCATTATATTTTATTACAACTCCAGTCATTATGACTCCGGTCATCATATTTTAAGCCCAGCTCAGCACTTCTGCTTACTTTTACAATTACACTTTTTGACGAGCAAAGTGTTTTACTTCGGCTCCGGCCACAGAGACATGTTCTACTTCGGTCCTGGTTACTGCGACCACATGTCACATACTCTACCTCGGCCCCGGCCCTTATGACTCCGGTCATCATATTTTGTTACGGCCCCGGCCATTATGACTCCGGTCATCATTTTCCATCACGGCTTTGGCCTTTACAACTCCAGTTATCATTTTTTATCATGACCTTGGCTCCATTATAACTCCGGTCATCATCTTTTACATTATGACTCCAGTCATTACTTTCACCACGACCACGGCCGTGATCGCTCCAGTCATATTCCATTTAAGGCACCCCAGTATGACCCACTGTTACGTATTTCATTATTAGCTACGGCTGTGTCTAAATTTAAATTACAGTTTTCTTCCTTATACTTCCATGACTTATCCGTAATTTCTTTGTTCATGCACTCCCCTCATTATCCCTAGCAACATCATTCACAAGTG